AAAAAATAATGTACCTATTACTTGTTTGTTTTATGAAAAACATAATTTACCTAGTATGAAAAGTGTACATAATTATCTATTCCAAATAATGTACCTATACACATTTATAGGTATATTGTAAAATAATTTACCTATGGGTAAATAATGTACCTATATTTTATATAAATTATTGTGTACCTATTTTTAATTATGAAAAATATACACAATTACAAAGTAATTGACTTTGTTTTTTTTTGTTTTTGGTAAATAATATACCTATATTTTATATGTATATATTTATATTATATTTTTCATAGGTACATTATTGGATATGTAATTTACAGATTTTTTTGTTGTTGTTGTTGTTGTTGTTGTAATTTTAGGGGGTGAGATGTGAGAGGGAATGACAACTAAAAGAAATGGGGTGATTGATATGCTATTAATAGGGAGTATATTAATTACAATTATGGCAGTTAATGAAATGCTTGAAATAAATTATAAATAAAATATGAAGTTTAGTAGCAATGATGTAAAAACATAGAAATACTACGACCTCTTATATCATACTAGTCATTTAAATTTGAATTTGGGTTTTACACATAGATTTATAGAGCGATGGGTATATGTCTAGGAAATAGAAAATGTAGGGATCTATATTGGACAAGCCCAAGTTTCAAACACGGTTGAAACTAAGACGCTGACAAAGAAGGGACTGGTAGCTGGTTTGATTTTTGAGGAGACTTTGATTATCTGGAAGTAAATTAAAGTCCTCCACGATACTTTATTCCACGCTTAAAAAGTTCGCATCTCTAGCTTGATTGACGCTTCTTCGTTACCAGCATCTCTAGCTTCATTGACACTTCTTATAAGTTATATACTCTCTCTCAAGTCAACAAGCCAATATTCATTCTCAGTCTTTACTCCTTTGGTTTGCGATGCCCTTTTTGTTAGTAGTATGAATTGGATTATTAATAGAGAAGTGTCCATGCATCACAAACTTTGGAAGCATATAGACACTGTATATCAATAACATAAAAGTTGATTTTGTTAGTAGTATGAATTGGATTATTGATATAGATTAACGCACACAATTGTCACATAAGCCATCAAGCCTCGCTAAAATGTATATATACATATACTAAAGTTCAATCCAACTCTACGCTGTATTTAAGCACAGTGTAATGACGGAAATGCCCTCTTTTTACTATTATTTTCAATTTTGTTTTCTCATCAACACAGTGAATTGTCGAAAATGTTCTCCACTTAACCTTTTCTGCTATTCCCTTTTTGCCCCTTCTCCTTCTGTCTTTCTTCCCCTGCGAACGTTTCGTTCGCTCAAAGAAGGAGTTCATTTCCAGTTGATTTCGAACTAGCTGGTTGGCCTGGCTGGGGGGCAGCGATGGAAGATTTGCGTTCACTATTAGAGATGCTTTGGCGGCCGTTGATTAAATAGACTGGGGTTATACTTTTGTCCATCATATTAATAGAATGCTTGATGTACCTAAATT